AAGCTTATTCCGGACTAAGTACTATGTTTGACGACCATAAGGTCGTTAATTATTCAGAAAATTTTGTTGACCCCAATATTCGTTGCCATACTCAATTAATTGAGTGTATTTGGGGTCAAGCAAAATTGAAGATAATAAAGAATAAGAGGGGAACCACCCTTACAATGTTACAAAGCCATTTGAGCTTTTTCTGTTTCTATTATCATTTTAAAGAAGAATCTTTTAAAAATTTTTAAAAAAAACAGGAAACAATAGTTAATAAACTTTATTTTTATTTTTTTATTTATTCAGCAACCCCTACCCCTTTAAAGGTAGGGGTTTTCGAATAAATATTTTTAATTTTTTAAATTTTTACTGACAAAAAATTTTTATATAAAATAAGGGGTGCTAATCCGATCGTGGGGCGCTAATCGAAACGGTACCATATTAAGTAATATAAATTGAATTTATAGTTTAATTAAGAAAAATTAGATGAAAAATAATAATAAAATTCTTTAAAAATAATTTTTGTTAAAAGATTTATTTAAAATAGTATAAATTTTATAAAAATGATGAATTTAAATAAAAAAAATTTTTAAATAGTAGAAAGATTTAATATTTTTAATTAAAAACTTATAAATCAAGATAAAAATTTTAAATAAAAATTTAACAATTTATTTTTACATTACCATGTTCTCTATCATATAAAATATACTCTTTAATACACAATTCATATATTGATTTAAGAATATCAATTTTACTTTTATTAAATTTTATACAAAGATCCTCAATATTAGATTTAGTTACTTTAAGTAAATGTGCTAGAATATTTAAAGAAAACTGAGAACTTTTTTCTAAAGTTACAATCAAATTTTCTTTTAATAAAATATTTTTACTTTCCTTTTTTAACCAGTTTAATCCTTGTAAATTATTAAAATTACCACTTAGTATTTGAGTAAATTCAATTCAGATTCATTATTCATATTTATATTACTTTCAGGATAGTTATGATTAACGGAATTAACCTCCATTCTATCACACAACTCATCTAATTTTAACATCTCTTTCTTTTTAATTAATTTTTTTAATAAAATTTTACTACCTAATTTTTCAGCTATAATTTTAAATGAATCTATATCACTTGATTTAAATGAAGAACTAATAACTAATTCATTGTTTATATTTAACTTTTTAAGTTGATACTTTAAATCATATAAGGAACTCACTTTAATCAATTCTTCTTCTCCTTTATAAGCACATTTAATATCTAAAATAGGCTTGACATGATTTTTAATATCTTCTATGTTATGATTGTCTCTCATTAAAAATAAATCAAAATTTTCTTAAGAAAATAATTTAATTAATTAGTTAGTAAAAAATTCTTTAAATTGATCAGAAGTTAACTTAAATACTGAATAATTAATATTAGAGACACTAAAATTAAATAAGAAATATTTAATTAATGAATGTTCATAATATTCAATAGGTAAGAACCTATTTTTAGTTAAATAACACTTATAATCTTCTGGTATCTTAAAATCTTCATTTAATTCTGATATATCAACACTCCTACAAATAAATAAGTAGTTATTAAAACCAACACATTTTTTATAAAATTCTTTAACAAGTTTTTTAGGTACTTCACATAGTGAACTATTAAAAATTAAAATAGAATCTTCTGACAAATTATGTTTCTTTAATTTCATTCTAGTTGACTTTGTAAAAACTTTTAGAGATTCTTTATAATTCAATCCACATAACATACTAACAATAACATCATCTACTACAATCTTATAATATTTATCATTAACTCTTGCTAATTCACAAAAAGAATCTTTATCTGAAATATAATCAACAGATTGTAATAACAAGTCAACTAAATCATTTTCTTCACACTTTTTAAGTTGAAAATTTAAATTATTTTTCTTATTCATCAGTAAAAAATTTTAAATAAAAAAATTTTAATAAATTTTCATTCATAAATAATTTCGGTATCTTCACCTTCAATGATGTTTCCATAACCAACTAATCTTATACTTTTACCTTCCTTTATAGAAATAGATAACTTTTCACCAACATTAGCACAAATAGGCTTTAATAACTCCAAATAACCATAATCATCTGTAATTTCAATTATATTAACAACAGAAGAGGCAGAAGATACATTAACAGTTACAACGGATTCTTCATCAAGTGAATCAACATCACTTCCTACTGGTTTTTCTAATAAATTATACTTAATTTTGATTTTTTTAAACACCGGGGGTAATTTTCCTTTTTTACCCACAACACTACCTACCATCATATCATTTTTACATTCTGATGGATCAATATCAGTTCCAACACCAATCAGCCCACCTGGTAATGCTATATCTAAATTAGTTGATTCTGCATATAAAGACTTAATTTCAGTTATAAAAGGAACACACTTAACTTCACCATTTTCTTCTATTATTTTACCAGGCCTTATTTCAATTTCTTCACCTACCCTCAATGAACCTGATATTATTGATCCTCCAATAACACCACCTTGTACCTTTGAATAAAGCGTACCTGGTTTATTTATATCAAATGATCTTATAATTATCATTTTAGAATCTTCATCATAGTTTAATTCTGGTTCTTTAACATAATTTACTATAAAATCTAATACGGCATCAACATTCACATTCATTTGACCGGATAGTGGTACAACCGGTGCACTCATACCATTACTTTGTAAAAATAAATTAATAATTTTATATTGTTCAAGCGCCTGTTCTTTGCTAATCAAATCAATTTTACTTTGTAAAACTATAAAATTATCAATTCCCAGTATTTTAAATGCTTCAAGGTGTTCCTTTGTTTGAGGTTGTGGACAATCTTCATCAGCTGCTATAAGTAACAATGCAGAATTCATAATGGCAGATCCATTAAGCATAGTTGACATTAATACTTCATGACCTGGGCAATCTACAAATGAAACATGTCTAATCAATCTTTTATCTGAATTACACTCTAAACACTTTAAGGGTGTACTAGAGTAACATTCAGGTCTCTCACAATTACATTCATATATCTTTGCATTGGCATATCCTAATTTAATAGTTATATTTCTTTCTAATTCTGACTTGTATTTAAGTGTAGATTTCCCAGAAATAGCTCTTATAGTAGTTGACTTACCGTGTGCTACATGACCTATCGTACCGATATTTATAGTCGCTTGTTTTTCAATTGGATTATAATTCTCAATGTTGAACATTCAAATTGAGGGATAAAAAATTATTTTATTTTTATTAAAAATACAATTAAATTTTATTTTCTACAAGTTCATCTGATCTGTTAAATTTCTTTAACTGTCATTCCTATCTGTAGTAACTCTGTTTCTACAAAGGATTCGTTTTAAAAAAAA